GTGCGATACGATGAAAATACAAAAGCAAATAGCGAAAAAGATGGGGAAGGGAAAAGGGAACAGAGACTGTACTGATTAAAGGTCCCAACTTCCTGACAGTGAGAACAATTAATCAGTGGAACAGCTTGCCTCCAGAAGCAGTAAATGCTCCAACACTGGAAGTTTTTAAGAAGAGACTGGACAGCCACTTGTCCGAAATGGTGTAGGGTTTCCTGCCCGAGCAGGGGGTTGGACTAGATGACCTCCAAGGTCCCTTCCAACTTTACTAATATGAACATATTATTATTATTATTATTATTATTATTATTATTATTATTATTATTATTATTATTATTATTATTATATGGATCATCGCACAGTCAGCCAGATGTTCAGACTGGATTTGGCATTTTGTCTACCTATCGAGTCCTTACCCAGGACCTGGGATAGGCAGATGTGGATGTCTGATGGTATTACAGATATCGTCGCTGGATGGAAGCAGTTCCTAGTAAGGCCGCCTTTTGCAATTGACTAATAGCGAATTTGTCAATGCCAATGGTGTTCAAGTGGTGCTCCAGTTGTTTTGGGATTGCACCCAAGGAGACTATTACTGTTGGTACTACCCTTGCTTGCTTTTGCCACAGTCTTTCTATTTCTCTTTGTAGGTCTTTGTATTTTGTTATCTTCTCCAGTTCTTTCTCATCTATTCTGCTGTCTCCAGGCACTGCCACGTCCACTATCCAGGCTTTTTTATCTTTCTTATCGACAATTGTTAAGTCTAGGGTGTTATGTTGTTGTTGTTGTTATTATTATTATTATTGAAAAGAATACGAACACTTTTACTGCCACCTGGAAACCACTTCCAGAATTTGTCCTTGAGGTAAAAAAAAATAAAAATGAAATTTTGATTTTGAGTTTTATCAGTTAGTTAGACTTGATGTTACCGAAACGGCTAGCTTATTTTAATTCGCAAAAGTAAAAAAAAAAAAAGAGGTTTGAAGTTGATACTCTTCTTTGCTGCACGAAAGGAAGTTGGAAGTTAATGTCTTTTTTTTTCTTCTTTTTTCTCTTCCCTACCTCGCTTCCCTTTTCCCTTCCTCATCTTTTTCCGCTCTTTAGTTTCGTACTTTCATCGCCTCGTAATAATTTCTTTTCTTTTCTTCTACAGAAGGTTCCTAATGGGACCAAAAAATTAACAACCAACTCAGCGGTGACCGTCTTGACTTCGCTGACCTCTCTCCTTTGAAGGCCATCCCCACCGAACATCAGACCCGCGTGCCGGTATCAATAGCCAGATGGGCGGCATATAAATGCGATTAATTAATTAATTAATTGAATTAAATCAAACCTATCCAGCTGAGGCTATCTGCAACAGCTGTCCTCCAGGAAAAACAGTGGCCCAAAGCAGCCAGAGCCTTCCTCTTGATTAAGGGCAGGGAATTATGGGTCTTTTCCTGTCTGTTGAGTGATGGGCAGGTGCTTTTTCTCACAATAAGACCCACCCAGGCAGAGAAGGCCATGGGGGGGGGAGAGAGAGAGGGGGGGGACAGGGAGAAGAAGTCAGGCAGTCAGTATCGCATCCCCTTTAACAACAGCTGCAAAACTGTTGGTTGCTAGTTCCTGGAGCTGGACTCTCCAGCTGTTACTCTAAGCCAGGGGTCTTCAGACTTGGCCCTTTGATGACTTGTGGACTTCAACTCCCAGAATTCCTCAGCCAGCGTGAGGGAACTAGGACCCTTTGATGACTCGTGGACTTCAACTCCCAGAATTCCTCAGCCAGCGTGAGGGAACTAGGACCCTTTGATGACTGGTGGACTTCAACTCCCAGAATTCCTCAGCCAGCGTGAGGGAACTAGGACCCTTTGATGACTCGTGGACTTCAACTCCCAGAAGTCCTCAGCCAGCGTGAGGGAACTAGGACCCTTTGATGACTCGTGGACTTCAACTCCCAGAATTCCTCAGCCAGCGTGAGGGAACTAGGACCCTTTGATGACTCGTGGACTTCAACTCCCAGAATTCCTCAGCCAGCGTGAGGGAACTAGGACCCTTTGATGACTTGTGGACTTCAACTCCCAGAATTCCTCAGCCATTTCCTGGCTGGGGAAATGGGAGTTGAAGTCCACATGTCTTCAGGCAGCTCAGGTTGAGAAACACTGGTCTAAGAGGAACCAATGATAGACTGTCTTCTTCTCCTTCTCTTTCTCCTTCACCTCCACCTTCCTTCTTTCTCCTCCTCCTTCCCTTCCCTCCTCCTCTTCCTCCCCTCCGTATACTTTCTCTTCATTTTCGTTTTTTGGTCTTTCCTCCCATTTTCCTTCCTCCCTCCCTCCCTCCATTCCTTCCTTTCCTCTTCCTCCCTCCCTCTGTTCCTTCTTCCTTGCTTCCTCTATTCCTCTTCCTTTTGTTCTTTCCTTCCTTCTCTCCTTCCTCCTTTCTTTCTCCTTCCTTCCATCTCTCCTTCACTCCCTCACTCTTTTCTTCTTTCCTCCCTTCCTCCTTCCTTCTACTCCGTCCCTCTGTCCCTTCCTTCTTCCTTGCTCCCTCCATTCCTCTTCTTTTTGTTCTTTCCTTCCTTCTCTCCTTCTCTCCTCCATCCCTTCTTTCTTTCTCCCTTCCTTCTCTCCCTCACTCTTCTTTCCTCCCTTCCTCCTTCCTTCTCTCCTACTCTGTCCCTTCCTTCTTCCTTGCTCCCTCCATTCCTATTCCTTTTGTTCTTTCCTTCCTTCTCCCTCCCTCCCTTCTTTCTTTCTCCTTCCTTCCAACTCTCCCTCACTCTTTTCTTCTTTCCTCTCTTCCTCCTGCCTTCTCTCCTACTCCCTCCCTCTGTCCCTTCCTTCTTCATTGCCCCCTCCATTCCTCTTTTTTGTTCTTTCCTCCCTTCCCTCCCCCTCCTTTCCTCTCTTTTCTTTCTCCTTCTTTCCATCTTTCCCTCACTCTTTTCTTCTTTCCTCCCTTCCTCCTTCACCCTCCCTTCTTCCTCCATTCCTGCCTTCTCTCCTACTCCCTCCCTCTGTCACTTCCTTCTTCATTGCCCCCTTCATTCGTCTTCCTTTTGTTCTTTCCCTCCTTCTCTTCCCCCCCCTCTCTTTTTCTTTCTCTCTCCCTTTTCCAGCAATGTCAGTTGGCCCCCTTGTCCAGCACTTCTTGCAAGCTCTATAAGAGGAAGCTGGGGTTTGCAGCCAGCCTCACTGGGGCTGAGTGCCCATTAGACTGTGCAAATATATTTTTCAAGCCCCCATTTGCATCTCCTGTCAACAAAGGCCCCCCGGGCACAAACCACGGCCAGCAACGGTTCCTCAACTGCTTTGCATCACAGTAGGCAAATTTTTCTTACTCCCTTGCAAAAAAAGATAAAAAAAAATAAAAAAAAAAATAACAGTATGTCAGAAGTTCTGAATTTGAGTCACCTGAAATAATGATGGGCAAAGGAATTATTTTCCCCAGAACAAACCCAGGCCCTGTTTTTGGAGCACTTCAGGGCTCCGTGCTAAGTCTGGAAGCTGAGCCCTTGTGACATAGTGAAAGGACCTACCACATTTAATTCAGTTGAGCAATACTAGCTTAGTGTACAGAAGAAAGGATTCATCTGGGTCTTCTCTGTGGCTTCAAAGAGCCAGGTTGGAAACAAAGGATTAACATGAGGAGGAGGAGGAGGAAAAGGTGAAGCTGATCAGAGAAATGGTGAGCTCTCCATCTGACTCTTTAAAGCAGGGGGTCTTCAAACCTGGCCCTTTTCTGACTTGTGGACTTCAACTCCCAGAATTCCTCAGCCAGCCTCCATTTTGTTTGTTAGATTTAAGACAGGGGTCTTCCAACTTGGCCCTTTGATGACTTGTGGACTTCAACTCCCAGAATTCCTCAGCCAGCCTCCATTTTGTTTGTTAGATTTAAGACAGGGGTCTTCCAACTTGGCCCTTTGATGACTTGTGGACTTCAACTCCCAGAATTCCTCAGCCAGCCTCCATTTTGTTTTTTAGATTTAAGACCGGGGCCTTCAAACCTGGCCCTTTGATGACTTGTGGACTTCAACTCCCAGAATTCCTCAGCCAGTGTTGCTTTGCTGGCAGGGGAATTCTGGGAGTTGAAGTCCACAAGTCATCAAAGGGCCAAGTCTGAAGACCCCCTGCTTTAAACAGAGGATGAATGGTTTTGTGGATCTTGCCCTGAGTAGTGGCTGGACTAGTTGACCTCTAAGAACCCTTCCAACCCTTATGATTCTGGAAAGACTCTTCTGGATCCTGCCCTAAGCAGAGGCTGGACTAGTTGACCTCCATGAGCCCTTTCAATTCTAGGATTCTGGACATCTTCATCTTTACACACACACGCACACAAACACACACACACACACAAACACAATGTGCACCTTACAACAACCCTTTGAGGTAGGTCAGGCTGGAAGAGAACACATCCTCAAAGCTCACCAAGCAGCTTTCACACCTGAATGGAAATTGAAACTCAGTGCTTCCTTTTCTACCTCTTCCAGCCTGTTGGACTACAACCCCCATCATGCTCAATGGGCTCCAACCACCCCACCCCTCCCACTGTGGCTATTGGCCCCCAATAAATGATTTGTTTATTCCATTTCCATAGCCACTCATCCCTGCCAATGACTTAAAACTCAAAAAAAATCTTCTCCAGTTAAAAGGCTAAAAGCGTTTTAAAACAATAAAAACCATGACAAACCTCCAAAATTAATACAGGTGGCCCCTGACTTACGACTGCAACTGGGATTACAATTTCCGTTGTTAAGCAAGGCAGCTGTTAAGGGAATCACAGCCTGTTTTATAACCTTTCTCGTCCTGGTTGTTAAGCGAATCACTAGAGCTGTTCAGTTAGTAAGACAGCCGTTAACTTGACTTGTCAGAAGGCTGGAAAAGACGATCCCAGGACCCAGGGACACGGCAACGGTCATAAATAGTTTTGGTCACCATGATGTAAAAAAGTTGCTGAGACTCTAGAAAGGGTGCAGAGAAGAGCGACAAAGAGGATCAGGGGACTGGAGGCTAAAGCATATAAGGAACGGTTGCTGGAATTGGGTATGTGTAGTTTAATGAAGAGAAGGACGAGGGGGGACATGATAGCAGCCTTCCAGTATCTCAGGGGCTGCCCCAAAGAAGAGGGAGTCAAGCTATTCCCGAAAGCAGCTGAGGGCAGGACAAGAAGCAACGGATGGAAACTCATCAAGGAGAGAAGCAGCCTGGAACTAAGGAGAAACTTCCTGACAGTGAGAACAATTAACCAGTGCAACAACTTGCCACCAGAAGTTGTGGGTGCAGGAATTTAGTACGTCTAGTTTAATGAAGAGAAGGACCAGGAGTGACATGATAGCAGTGTTCCAGCATCTCAGGGGTTGCCCCAAAGAAGAGGGAGTCAAGCTATTCTCCAAAGCGTCTGAAGGCAGGACAAGAAGCAATGGATGGAAACTCATCAAGGAGAGAAGCAACCTGGAACTAAGGAGAAACTTCCTGACAGTGAGGACAATTAACCAGTGGAACCACCTGCCTCTAGAAGCGGTGAATGCTCCAACACTGGAAGTTTTTAAGACAGCAGTTCTCAACCTTTTTAATGCCGCGACCCCCAACCAGTTGTAAGTCGAGGATTACTCAACCGGTCGTAAGTCGAGGACTACTCAACTGGTGCAGCACCGTTTGCAGAATGGGACTTTTGGCGGGCTCAGCAGGGCAGAGACAGCCTGGACAATTCCTATTGGCTTTGGAAAGCCAATAAAATAAGACTCTATTCAAGAGAGTCTATTCTATTGGCTTTCAAAAGCCAATAGAATAAAAGGGAGTAGCACAGCTAAGGAAAAGGGGGGGAAAATGGCGGACTTCGTTGTTTGGCGACCCCCGTGAAATGGTCATTCGACCCCAAATGGGGTCCCGACCCACAGGTTGAGAACCACTGTTTTAAGAAGAGACTGGACAGCCATTTGTCTGAAATGGTACAAGGTTTCCTGTCTGAGCAGGAAGTTGGGCTAGATGACCTACAAGGTCCCTTCCAACTTATTATTACTATTACTATTACTATTACTACTACTACTACTACTACTACTACTACTACTACTATTATTATTATTATTATTATTATTATTATTATTATTATTATTATTATTAAATAGGATGTTGCCAAGCGTCCAAATTTTGATAACGTGACCACAGGGGATCCTGCAGCCATCGGAAGTGTGAAAAAGGCTCGTCATTTACTTTTCCCAGTGCTGTCATAACTTCTAATGATTGCTAAACAAATGGCTGTAAATCGAGGACGGCCTAGAGATACACAGCAGCCGAGACAGCTGGCCAGTTCACACATTCAATGCCCCAGGCTCGTTTACAGAGCCGGGTTTTAAGGGTCTTACAAATCATTTCATTTCTTTTTATTAATTTTGTTCATTGGTTTTATTTGCCACCCATCTCGATTCAAAGCGACTTTGGATAGGTTTGCCGCACTACAAGCATTCAAATCATACAAGGTAAAATATTTCCCAAAGAATAAAAAATGGATGTTACGCAGAAAAATGGAATTATTGTTCAAAGATGGGGAGAGAGAGAAGGAGAGAGAGGCTGCAAGGGGATTGGGGAAGGAATAGAATAGAATAGAGTAGAGTAGAATAAAGTAGAATAGAATAGAATAGAATGGAATGGAATGGAATAGAATAGAATAGAATAGAGTAAAATAGAATAGAGTAGAGTAGAGTAGAGTAGAGTAGAATAGAATAGAATAGAATAGAAAGAATAGAATAGAATAGAATAGAATAGAATAGAGTAGAATATGGGAATTAGAATATGGGAATTAGAACAGTAGAATAGAGTAGAATAGAGTAAAGTAGAGTAGAGTAGAATATGGGAATTAGAATAGAGTAGAGTAGAATATGGGAATTAGAATATGGGAATTAGAGTAGAATAGAATAGAGTAGAGTAGAGTAGAGTAGAGTAGAGTAGAGTAGAGTAGGGTAGGGTAGGGTAGGGTAGGGTAGGGTAGAATAGGGTAGAGTAGAGTAGAATATGGGAAATAGAATAGAATAGAGTACAGTAGAATAGAAAAGAATAGAATAGAATAGAATAGAATAGAATAGAATAGAATAGAATAGAATAGAATAGAATAGAAGCTGGAAGGGACCTTGGAGGTCTTCTAGTCCAGCCCCCCGCTCAAGCAGGAGAACCTATACCATCTCAGACAAATGACCGTCCAGTCTCTTCCATTTTCTAGCTTCACACGGCTCAAAACACTCAAAACAAACTCTGTGGGCTCAGACTACGCTTACCTGCCCCCATGCACAAGGAACGGCTTAGTCCAGACCCAGGTTTAGCATGCTGGGCGAACGCAGCCGTGTCTCCAAACAAGCAGAAGTTTGCAGGCGAAGAGTGGGAATTAGGAAGTTGCCCGCAATTTGTGCATCCTTGCAACCTCGCCCGGGGGCTGGGAATCCCAACCCTGCCGTGTCACGGCCGCAGCCACCGCATTGAGGGAGGCACAGAGTGACGAAAGGCTGTTTCCTTCCGCCCCGATAGGAATCCCGAAATTCACACAGAAGCACCGAAAAGCAGAAGCACATTTAAAAACCTGTATATAAATGGAATCATCTACACAACGAAGAGAAGGACAAGGGGGGACATGATAGCAGTATTCCAATATCTCAGGGGCTGCCCCAAAGAAGAGGGAGTCAAGCTCTTCTCCAAAGCCCCTGAAGGCAGGACAAGAAGCAACCTGGAACTCAGGAGAAACATCCTGACAGTTAGAACAATTAGCCAATGGAACTACCTGCCTCCAGAAGCGGTGAATGCTCCGACACTGGAAGTTTTTAAAAAGAGACTGGACGGCCATTTGTCTGAAATGGTATAGGGTTTCCTGCCTGAGCAGGGGGTTGGACTAGATGACCTCCAAGGTCCCTTCCAACTTTACTACTATTATTATTATTAAATGTAAGGACTGCAACAATCATCATGTAGGACAAACAGGCAGAAGCATCCATGAACACCAACGAGCAGTCGGAAGACAGGATGAAAATTCTTTAATTTCACAACAGATGGACAGATCTCGCCATAGTTTCAATTGGGAAAATATGACAATCCTAGTCCCCAAATGCCAGGGAATCTCCAGAAGCCTGGCACTCTGACAAATCAGGCATATAATAGACATCTAGATGTCAACAACTATGCAAAAATTGCATAATCAATCAGCCCCAAAGGGAACAAAACCTGGAATTAAGGAGAAAGTTCCTAACTGTGAGGACAATTAACCTGTGGAACAGCTTGCCACCAGAAGTCCTGGGTGCTCCATCACTGGAAGTTTTTAAGAAGAGACTGGACAGTCACTTGTCTGAGATGGTGCAGGGTCTTTTGCTTGAGCAGGGGGCTGGACTAGAAGACCTCCAAGGACCCTTCCAGATTCTATTCTATTCTATTAGGACCTGGACGACTTGAACACTGGGCGCTATCTCACAAAATGAAATTCAAGGGTGAACAAAGGAAGGTTCTACATTTAGGCAAGAAAAACCAAATGTACAGGTATAGTATAGGGGGTAACTTGCTCAATAGTAGTAACTGTGAGAGGGATCTTGGAGTCCTACTGGACAATCACTTAAATAGGAGCCAGCCATGTGCTGCAGCTGCCAAAAAGGCCAACACAGTGCTACGCTGCATCAACAGAGGGATAGAATCAAGATCACGTGAAGTATTAATACAACTTTACAAGGCCTTGGTAAGGCCACACTTGGAATCCTGCATCCAGTTTTGGTCACCACGATGTAAAAAAGATATTGAGACTCTAGAAAGAGTGCAGAGAAGAGCAACAAAGATGATTAGGGGACTGAGACTAAAACATATAAGGAACGGTTGCTGGAATTGGGTATGTCTAGTTTAACGAAGAGAAGGACAAGGGGGGACATGATAGCAGCCTTCCAGTATCTCAGGGGCTGCCCCAAAGAAGAGGGAGTCAAGCTGTTCTCCAAAGTGCCTGAAGGCAGGACAAGAAGCAAGGGATGGGAACTGATCAAGGAGAGAAGCAACCTAGAACTACGGAGAAACTTCCCGACAGTGAGAACAATTAACCAGTGGAACCACCTGCCTCCAGAAGCAGTAAATGCTCCAACACTGGAAGTTTTTAAGAAGAGACTGGACAGCCATTTGTCCAAAATGGTATAGGGTTTCCTGCCTGAGCAGGGCGTTGGACTTGATGACCTCCAAGGTCCCTTCCAACTTTATTATTATTATTATTATTATTGTTGTTGTTGTTGTTGTTTTGTTGTTGTTGTTGTTCTGTTCTATTCTATTCTATTCTATTCTATTCTATTCTACAATCTGTCTCTTCTACTCTACTCTACTCTATACTCTACTCTACTCTCTACTCTTCTCTACTCTACTCTACTCTACTCTACTCTACTCTACTCTACTCTCTACTCTTCTCTACTCTACTCTACTCTATTCTACAAAAGACCCCAGCACCTCTCCACCAGCAATCAGTACCCAGATCAGCATAATTAACTCCAAGATTAACTTCAGAGCAACAATCAAGTAAACAATGAAGGAACTGCCAAAGAGCCATTAATAAACAGCCCAACCGAACAATCCTTAAGACCTCCCCCCCCACACACACAGACAGGCAAGACACCAGAATATAAACTGAGAGCAAACCCCTCTCCCTTCTAGCACTGATGATGTTCCCTAGTTGGGTCATGAAACGTCTGCAAGAAAACCATCAAGCTCAGAGAGTCCCAAGAATCCCACATTCCCCCTCCGCCTCAGGCATGAAAGACAGTTGGGTGACTTTGGGCCAATCACCAGGAGATGGAGAGTTCTAGTCCCGCCTTAGGCATGAAAGAACAGCTTGCCTCCAGAAGCAGTAAATGCTCCAACACTGGAAGTTTTTAAGAAGAGACTGGACAGCCATTTGTCCGAAATAGCGTAGGGTTTCCTGCCCGAGCAGGGGGTTGGACTAGATGACCTCCAAGGTCCCTTCCAACTTTACTACTATTACTATTACTAGTCCCGCCTTAGGCATGAAAGACAGTTGGGTGACTTTGGGCCAATCACCAGGAGATCGAGAGTTCTAGTCCTGCCTTAGGCATGAAAGCCACTTGGGTGACTTTGGGCTAATCACCAGGAGACGGAGAGTTCTAGTCCCGCCTTAGGCATGAAAGACAGTTGGGTGATTTTGGGCCAATCACCAGGAGACGGAGAGTTCTAGTCCCGTCTTAGGCACAAAAGCCAGCTGGGTGACTTTGGGCCAATCACCAGGAGATGGAGAGTTCTAGTCCAACCTTAGAAATGAAAGCCGGCTGGGTGCCCAGCAGAATCCTGCCAGGGACACCCTGAAGCAAAGGATGCTGGGGGACCCCGCAAGTGAAAAGACGTCTGGGAAAGGGAGCGTGGGAAACACCTGGCTGAGCTGCATATCCCCCAAGGCAGAAGAGGAAGCAGCCACCCGTGTCCCTCCCCTCAGTGCCTCGTCTGCCCCGGATTTCAATGAAGTGCCAAATACTCAGCTGCAAGTAGCCAGCCCCAAAGCCGCAGAGTGTTCAAGAAGCGAGATCCGATCTCGTGGTCAGAAGCCGGAAACCAGGCTGCAAGTAAAAGTCACTGAGCAGAATTTGGCTGCAGGCAGGAAGTTTGCGCAGGGCTGATTAAAGGAGGGGGCAATTGGGGGGATCGGGATTCTCCTTTTCCATGCATCCTGAGAAGACAATGACGATTGTAAGCTAGACCGCAAACTCGGAGCCAAACCAAACCCCGGTATGTGACTTCACAACCTTCAGCCCTGGACATCACATCACAGGAGGCTACAATGCCAAAGCTCAGGATGTTACAACACAGCCAACCACCCAGGATGATGCAACACAGAACTCAGGATATCACTACACTAGATCTCAGGAGGTCATCACACAGCCCATTACCCAGGTTGTTACAACACAAAAGACTAATGGGCACACAGCCAGCACCTCAACCACTCAGGGTGTTACAAAACAGCCAAACAATCCACAAACAATAACTCCAACACAGCCAACCAATCCACCTACAGCAGCGGTTCTCAACCTATGGGTCGCGACCCCATTTGGGGTCGATCGACCTCTTTTGTGGGGTCGCCAAACGCGGCGATCCGCCATTTTGTCCCCTCCGGGGGCGCGCCGCGCCTCCGGGGGGGGCGGTGCCGCGCACGTGCGCGGCACGTGGGGGCGGCGGCGCGCCTCCGGGGGGCGCCACCCGCATGCGCGCCGCGCGTGGGGGCGGCAGCGCGCCTCCGGGGGCGCCACCGCGCATGCGCGCCGCACGTGGGGGCGGCGGCGCACCTCTGGTGGGCGCCACTGCGCATGCGCGCTGCGCATGGGGGCGGTGCCGCGCCTCCGGGGGTGGCGCCGCGCATGCGCGCCGCGCGCGGGGGCCCGCCCCCATGCGCGCCGCGCGCGCGGGGTGGCGCCGCGCATGCGCGCCGCGCGCGGGGGCCCCACCCCCATGTGCGGCCGCGCCGCGCATGCGCACAACGTTTGTGTGACGGGGGTCGCCGTCACACAAACGTTGAGAACCGCTGACCTACAGCAACTAAGCCAGCACTCCACACACCCCCACCAACATATATAGAGAGACGGCAGCTCCGATCACACTTTGCTCGCACAAGCACGAAGCCGAAGACCCCAGCCTGAAGATGACGAGTGGGACCTCGCCGAAATGTCGCCAAGATACTCTCAATCTTACATGGGAAAAAACCCAAATACACCAAGACCTGCACATATATATATGTATGTAGGTCTTTGGTTATTCGGGTTTTCTCCTGCGTAAAATTGGAAGTGTCTTGGCGACGTTTCAACGAAGTCCCATACGTCATCTTGAGGCTGGTGTTTTCGGCTTCGTGCTTCTAGGATGCAAGGCGTCCTATATCTGCCTTGCATTTTCTCCTACGAAGAAAAAAACACACACAATTTTGCAGCTCTGCCATTTCTTATCAGAATAACCAGGTTGGAAGGGACCTTGGAGGTCTTCTAGTCCAACCCTTTGCTCAGTCAGTAAATCTTTCTCTTAAAAATCTTTTGAATATTCCACCAAATCTTAATCCCAAAAGCTTTAATATCTCTACAAGTCCACCAGATATGAAAATAAGTTGCATCTAAATTTCCACATCTCCACCATTTGGGCTGTAAATTCGGATACATGCGAGACAACATTTGGGGATCCAAATGCCATCTATAAAACATTTTATAAAAAAATTCTCTTAAATTTTGCGCTTGAGTAAATTTTACATTTCTAACCCAAATTGTCTCCCATGTATCCAATAAAATCGGATCTTGAATATTTTGAGCCCATTTGACCATACAATTTTTAACTAACTCCGTTTCAGAGTCCAATTCTATTAAAGCACTATAAATTCTTTTTATATGAGCTTGACTTTGATCTTTAATCTGTTTTACCAAATTCACATCCTCTAAAGTAATACCAACCTTTTGATCTATACTCCACGCTCAGTCAGTAAATCTTATGCCCTTTCAGACAAATGCTTGTCCAGTCCTTTCTTAAAATCCTCCAGTGACGGAGCAC